TATGAATCAGGCATTCACATCTTTGCCTGGAGGGTCACTATAAACAATGCTTACAGTCCCTGAAATAAAAAGTTGCCGGTACAACATGTACTGTACATGCGTGTCGTACTGTCCAGTCTAGACTCCCAGCTTGTAGAGTCGACCAAGAACAAATGTAGCCTGGTAAGATCACTGTAGTTGGTGCATGGCTTTTATTAATGACGTCCAATGGTAAATATGTTATCTTTGATCATAACTTTCTTTCAAAATGTATGGTTAGTCCCTTTAATGTCTGTACATAATGTAAAAATGAGGGCTTGTACAGTGTGAGCAGTTTATGTACAGCACAGAACTTCAAGCTTCCTGGATCTACCTGGATTATCAGGAAAGATTTAATTTTTACAATTTTACAATAGTCGTCGCCGATTATACCAATACAATGAAGACGACTTTTATATTTATATTTTGATTTGTAACAGGCTTTTTTCAAATTAAAAATTCTAAGAGAAGCTGTAAATTGACAGTGACAGCTTCTCTTTGTTTCCATATTTATGCATCCTTTAAAAGCTTGGTAAATATTAAAATTTGAATTGAAAGTCGTCTTCATTGTATTCATTAGAAATCCGCAAAAATATCGTAAGAAACCTTAAATACTTAAATATTCAAACCTAACCCAACAAAAATGCATAAAATAGCCCTTACTAAACGTTTAATGGGTAAAATGGGTTCTATCAGACTTTAACCAGGACCTCTTGTTTGTTGTTACCACTATATTATACTATTTAATATCTATCAGACTTTAACCGGGACCTCTTATTTATTGTTACCACTGTATTATACTATTTACTATCTATCAGACTTTAACCAGGACCTCTTGTTTATTGTTACCACTGTATTATACTATTTAATATCTATCTATTTTAATACTGTTTAATATCTAGAAGTAGAATTTTCTTACGTAAAATCAAACTTACCGAAAAACATCAAAATTTTAAAAATTTTCTTAAACTAAATGTTAGGGACAGCTAACATTGTAGTTATGTAGTTGTAAATATGAAGTTTATACATGTCAAGTTGTACACTATTAGATAAAATATTATATGCAATTCGAAATAACGATATTTTTGTTAGAATATGAGAACATATGTTCAATATTTTATATATTGCTCATATTCTGAAAAAGTTTTCGATATTTTTAATGTTTTGATATTTTACTAGAAAAATGTTTGGGTCTGATCTAAAAGTATAAATATAAAACTCAAAGCAAAATAATTTTCAATTAGAATATGATTTTTTAAACTGAATTTTGAAAAAGTTTTTTTTAAATTAAAACTATCAGAATATTTAATAAATTAGTTTTAATATGATTTAAAAATTCTTATTCCAAAACGCAATTTCTTTTTAATTATAAAAGTAAAAACTCAAGAACTGTTTGTTCAATTGATTTTTACACAATTAATTCTTATTTAAATTATACACCATGACAGATAATTAGAAGGAAGGAGGGGGGGTGGGACAGCCGTAATTTTCCTCTTATTTTTTTACTAGAAATAAAATTCTTATATATTTTGCATTTTATGAGTTTGATTTTTTTTCGTGAAATTTAAAAATCAGATTCTATAATTAAATTCAATAATAATTTCTGAAAAATAGAATATTAATTTTGAAGAAAAGTTTTAAACATTTTTTTATGAATATTTAGTTTTTAGAAGAGATTCTGGATAATTTTTCTAACCATATCACGATTGCAATATTCTTGATTATTATTGTAATATTCTTGATTATTATTGTAATATTCTTGATTATTATTGTAATATTCTTGATTATTATTGTAGTATTCTAGATTATTATTCTAATATTCTAGATTATTATTGTATTATTCTAGACTATTATTGTAATATTCTTGATTATTATTGTAATGTTCTTGATTATTATTGTAATATTCTTGATTATTATTGTAGTATTCTAGATTATTATTCTAATATTCTAGATTATTATTGTATTATTCTAGACTATTATTGTAATATTCTTGATTATTATTGTAATGTTCTTGATTATTATCGTAATATTCTAAATTATTATTCTAATATTCTAGATTATTATTGTAGTATTCTAGATTATTATTCTAATATTCTAGATTATTATTGTAGTATTCTAGATTATTATTGTAGTATTCTAGATTATTATTCTAATATTCTTGATTATTATTCTAGTATTCTAGATTATTATTCTAATATTCTTGATTATTATTCTAATATTCTAGATTATTATTGTAGTATTCTAGATTATTATTGTATTATTCTAGATTATTATTCTAATATTCTTGATTATTATTATAATATTCCAGATTGATCACAGGAACTTTAAAAAGAAAATTGGTATTTTCAATATTAGTCGTTACATGGTTTTTAAGTTTGTCTTTAAATGGACTGTAAGCGTTATGTCAAGGGACCCTCCATGCTAAGATCCCAATCCCCGATTTACAAAGGTACCCTTGAAACCTTTGTGTGTTTGTCGAGTACAGAGATATGTGTGTGTAAACTTCGCAACACCCGTTTGAATTCAGCATCAAATTCCTGCGTGCGCTGTTTTGAGTTTATACTGCACACAACACATAATGTACGCAGTTGAAAAAAAGGCAGTTTTTAAGGCATTGCTCTCATTGCATGGGGAGTTCCTTGAAATTACGCTTTCCGTTTTTTTAAGTCTTGAAGTAGGTTTCAAATCAAATCAAATATATATTTGTCTCAAAAACCTATGAATAACATATTCTAAAAATGTGAATGTTGCTTGAGACGGGAGGGGGTGGGTAGGCATTGATACAAAAAATAGGATATACAAAACAAATATAAAAATGGTTGTTCTCAGTTTGGCTGAATTGTTGGTCTGTATAAAGTTTAATAATCCGAATGGATATCAGATTATTAGATTTACCGAGAAATCTCAATATATTGAAGAAATTAATCCATACTTTGTTCATAGATACAGGTTAGTCCCTCAGTCTTCGCCATCAAAAATGGGGAAATCGATTTTTATCGGAAATCTTTCTTCATATTGAACGAAAATGTTGGGAAAATATTGTCAAAAATAGATAGAAATTTCTTTTTTTGTAATTCGTCCGTCATTCTCGCAAATTTTTTAACGAAAATTTTGTTAGACAACTTAATTCAAGATTTAATATTAGAAATGTTAACATCTAGTTCAATATATCATTTGTAAAAAAAATAGTTAACTTTTGTTCGTTAACTTACGTTTCTAAAGAATTTGAAAAATATTCGGTAGAAAGGACCTTGCAGTTCAAATAAAAAGACATGCCGAAAAAGACAATTGCGAGCCAATTTTTGCAATACCTCTCTAATTTGTAAGCTTAGGAACAAAATCAATTTATTATTGTATAACTTTATTTTACAGAATAAAAAAATGGTATTTTCTTTTCACTTAGAAACTAAAAATTATTTCTCAAGAATTATTGTTGGATATTGTATATTTTTTTTTTTGAGGGGGGGGGTTCTTTATACAAAACGATATATTCATAGATTCATATATAATATAATATATAACGAACTAGTTTATAAAGTGTAACCATAAGAACCTCCCTAGAGAATAAAGTGTAATATTCCTAGTCTGGTATTCAGTTAAATTACATATATATTCATCCCATCTGCATTTTGTGTTACCATCTATATCCATACGTATTTTTTTGGTATCTCGCATGACCCATTAAAAGATTTATGACCCATCAAAATTGAAAGTTTTGCCTAGAAAAAATATCGGTTTTTTTCTAAAATAGAACAACCCGCGAAGTTTTTAGTTTTATAATTTACGAAGAAAACTGGCAGCTTATAAAACATCTTTAAAAAGCCAAGATGATAGATTATATATTATATATTATATACTGACCTTGTTTTGCTTTATTTAGTTTATTATTCTTTAATTTGATGCCAAAACTTTGAAAAGAAAATAAGTGTATTACTATTTCCCTCAGTACAAATTGAGTATGAAAACTTTAACTGCAGGTATATAGGGTAGATTATACTAAAATAGTTTAGTCTAGACAATTACTAAAATGTGTTCACAACTAAAAAAAAATCATTATTCAAAAAAACGATTTTACATTTTGTAAATATATCATTTAACTTTTTAACAAAGTTCACTAATCTAATTTTATTCATAATTGTAAAAAATTTCCATTCTTGTTAAATAAATCTTAAATTTTCGCACAATTTAAAGTTTTTTTTTCAATTGACACAAATTTTTAATACTAAAATTCTAAAATGCAATTTATTAAACATACTAAAACCTTTTGTAAATATTAGAAATGGTGCCCAAAGATCAGAATTAAGAATTTACCAAACTTTGACTTTTTAGGAACTGTCATTGTAATTTCAAGTTACCCTCCATTTACAGAGGGCCGGGGCCGGATGCACGGTTCCCTTTAAAACATTTATCTGTTCAAAAATGTGGAATATATTGTCGTCACAACTTCTTTTATGGTTTCTGTAGCAAGAAAACCCACAATTCAAAATAACAAATTTTTTAAAGAGAAATCATGAATATCTTATTCAATCTTTGTTGTACCGTTGTATCATCGACAATATAAAATTACGTCCTCTGTATCTTTAAGCCCAGTGATTGTCCAATTGCTTTTAAAGGGACTGTTCGCGTAATTTCACGTGACCCTCAATTCAAAGATAGCACCGTCCGATTTGCAACGGCACCCTTGAAACTATAATCTGATCAAAAATGGGGCAGATGATGTTTTTTCCTGACTCGAGAAGTGCTTAATTGCTTCTTATAAGTAAGAAATGTGGACGTCACTTATGCAGAGAAACTGCAAATGAAAATAAACAGTTTAAATAAACAAAAACATGCATAACTAATTCATACTGAGTCAGACGAAGCTTTTAGGGTACCGTTGTGAATCGGACATTGCCATCTTTCCATGAAGAGTCACTTGAAATTACGCTTACAGTCCCTTTACAGCAAATTGCATTTAATTTTGTCTAATTTTTGCATTGATTTAGGTTTCACGCAAGCACAACGATTACGGATCGACTTGCCGTAACAAGCATTTCAAGGAATTTTTCTTTCTTTAAACTTTTGCCGGGGGGGGGGGGTTCTTGAAAAGTTTGTATCTTCAACAAAGAACTCGTTTTTTCGGTCACGTTACACATACCGTACTCTGAAGAGCTCTGAGGTCGAATTTAATAAATAGAGAAGTAGTTTAACTCTTTATATCCAATATATATTGTAAGCCCCACAAAACATGAAGTAGCAATTGACGACTAAAAGGTCGTCTTTGATATTTTAGATAATTTGCGACATTTAATTGTAAACCTTATTTTAGATGTAGAAGTTTAGAATTAGTAATCACAAAATACTCCTAGTCGTCTCCAAAATGTGGTCTGTCATTTTTGTGCTTTCAATATTAACAGAGATATGAACGGTTTTGTTTTTATTTTCTTTATTTAATAAGATTGAAATCTGAATGAAATTCTTAATATCAACAATATTATTGACAGTACACAAAAAGCAGACAACATTTTGGAAAGGTCATCCTGCTACTCTCATGTTTTGTGGGACACCCTGTATCTAAGGTTATATAGAATAGGACTAACACATTCTAAATAAAACTAAACTAGAAGTTAAAACTAACAAAATCTTAATAAATATATCGATATGGAGAATTTTAACTCCCATTAAACCTACACCTAATTTCAAGCAACTCTTCCATTTTAAGAGTGGTACCCTTTAGACATTAAGCTTTTTATCCAATTTCATTTTGAAATATTCAAACCGTTTTATTTTTTTATGGAATTTGAACTAAATAGATTTATAAATCCAACCGTCTTGTGTCATCATTTGGGAAATTATGTTTTTTTTGTTATTTTAAATTTTTTGGTTTGTTTAAGGCTTTAAAAAAAAATCGCCGCATGATAACACAGAACAGTTGCAAAAATATATTTATATCAATTATTTTTATTCTTAAAATCTACTTGCACTGAAAGAAAAAGTCTTGTTATAGAATAGTGTATAACCCACTCCGAGAGGAAAAAGGTAACCCATTGAATTATTAAAAACAAAAATTACTTTTTGAATTTATTTCTAGATTTGGAGGTTGTGGTTTACTTTCCGGCATCGGCTGTACTCTCAAAGGAAAGTAAAAAAAAAACTGATTAAAGAGAATGAATAAACTCTACATTAATATAGTGGCATAACACAACTCTACGGCCTTAAAAGCATTGTCTGTTCAAATATGTCTTTATTTTTAAAATAAAATTATTCTTATTTGTGGTTTCTTTACAAAAGTGACTTGCTCATCTTTGGCAGCAGAAAAAAAGGAGAAATTAACAGTGTTAGGTCATTTCCCCAACAGCAACTTTCCCAACACAATTTCCCCAGTCACAACTTCCCCAACACTAACTTCCCCAGTCACTGATTTCCCCAACAGCAACTTCCCCAACTGCAGCAAATTCCCCATGCAGTAAAATCCTATCCGACAGATGAAAGAATTAAAGATTAAAGAACGGACCTGCCAGCGGAATATCAGGGTCGGCCACAGTATTGCTAGTATGCTGTTTTTCAATGGCGGAAGCTCCACACTTTGCAATGGCATGGTATATATTATTAATATGGTTGTTGGAAAGTGATATGATGACGTTATCAGACTCCTTCAGTTCCAGAATGATTTAGTTTTAGCCCTTAACATTGATTGTAGGTTATACTCATACTTATTGGCATTGTATAAACTGCTAGCATGACGACTCTAATCAAGCTGATTGGGGTTTTCACATTTAAAAAATTGCGAATTTATTCAGGTTCAAATTGCGCATTTGTTCATTGGAATAATGTTAAAAACGAAAAAATGTAATATTTTTCTGCATGGCGAAATTGCTGTTGGGGAAATTGCTGTTGGGGAAATTGCTGTTGGGAAAATTGCTGTTAGGGAAATTAGTGATTGGGAAGATTGTTATTGGGGAAGTTGTGACCGGGGAAGTTGCGCTGGTGAAATAACCTAACACCAAAATAACACTTGTTCAGCTAAATAAACGACGTTATCTCCCACATTGTTGATTTGGTTAGAGGGTGTAAATCGGGCATGGTTTTACATAATTTACAAAACCAGCCTTTTTAATCCAGTTTCAATAAAATCAATTTTAAATTTTCTACTTTTCTCTTTCTTTAATTTCTTTCATTTTACAAATTCTCTTTTTAGATAGATTTGGGGGGACGCACTCAGATTATAGAGGAAACCAATCTTACACAAAGGTTTGAAATATTAAAAAAAGAAAAGAATTAAACCAAAAAAATAGAAATATTTTTTCATCTTTTTTCTTTTAGTCTATTAGAATTAGCAAAATATTTTCATGTATGAAAATAAATTACATTGATTTTAACTTTTACCATTTTTAACAAAAGATATTCATGTTTGTTCACTTTTATTAGTCAAAGAAATTAAGTTTTTGTCAAATTGAAATTTTCAAATTCTTATATCTTTGCAATCTGATGGTTTAAACCTTTGATATTTCAAACTTAGAATATTTGATCTAACAGAATTCAAAGTTTAAAAATATGAAAGGTCTGCCACATCGGGTTGCACAGATATAAGAATGAAAACTTATATTCCTTTATATACAATGTTTACAAACCATTTTAATTACAATTAGATATTGCCTTAATGTCGTCTCCATAATCAACAGTTTTCTGGTTCTCACTGTACTGTTAAATGCCAATCTTTTTCGAATTCCGTAAAACTGTGAAAAACTGCAGAATAAAAGTCTGTAATAGATTAACGGATAAAATGAATCTATATCCATCTACTATACAGGGCTCACACTCCACTCCTGTATGCCGAGTCCATTAGCGCCTGATCCAATCAGGGTTCAGACATATGTTTTTGGGTTCTATTCTGAACCAATAGAAATAGAATGGCGGTCACATATATATATCTGTCTATCTATCTCATTATACAATTAGAGTTATGAATCCTTCAATCCGCGCTATCAGTAACTGGAAATATTTACTTCTACTGAAACTATAGAGCTCAACTCATGTACATTTGAATATGAGCTGAACCGACCTTTACGATCCTGTTTGTACTGATCCGCCGGTACGCCAACTTCACTGACAGACATACGGCAGGGGTCAATATAATTGGCCTAGCTCAGTAGGCAGGGCTAGCTGGTGCAACTAGGTTGGCGCGGCCTGACATTAAACTGCTCTGGTTAAAGGAATTATGTTTTTGCCACAAGCTCTGATTTTCTAATTCTTATATCTTTGAAATGCACCTTGTTCGTAGACTTTAAATATTCAAACTATGAATTCTGTTAGCTCAAATAATACAAGTTTGAAATATCAAGGGTTTACACCATCAGGTTGCAAAGATATAAGGTTTAGACACAGTTCCTTTACAATCAGTAAAGCGGCAATTTTGCTTTAGCTAGGTTCGAGTTTCGACGTGCTAAAAATATTTACGAAACTATTTTTAGTTTGAACTCTGGACTGCAGAATAAAACTGATAGAACTGATAGTTGTAATTGCACAGAACAAACTTTTTCAAAGGTTAGATGTTTTCAATTTAAAGGGACTGTATGCAAAAGTGATCAGAAAAGAATTTCAAACCTTTGAAGTGCTTGTAAATCATTCAAGGTAAAAACCTAAATAAAAATTTAGACTTCTAACCAATTTAAAAAGTTTACAAATGTATGTTCTTAAATCTTTTCAGTGGTTTTGTGCATTACTATGAAGCAAATTTTGTCCTATCCTATCTATTTACCGTTTTCACCTTTATTTTAATCTAAACAGGCCAACATTTGATGTACAATGGAACAGAACTTATATTTCGAAACAGACTCAAATTTTCTAGTCCCCATATATTTGCAACCAGATGTGTAGATATCAAAGTTTTCCGAAGTAAAAACTTTTGAGTTGTTAATCTCGGGATAAAGCATCTTATGTAAACCTACGGATTAATTTAATTCCTCTTTGATATCCCTTGGCAGTCATACCCTGCAGGGATAACCAAAATTAAAGGGTTAAACATTGATTCTCAAAGTTCAAAAGTGCCAACATTGGATGTCGACACAAAAGTTCTGATCTCTGGTTTCAAAGATATAGGGAGTTTAGAAAACTAGAGGTTTAGGCAAGTTTTCGGTTTGTTTTAAAAATTGGAATTTGTGTGAGAACATTTTAAGCATTAAGTACACAGTGTTATAATTGTTGCATGATACAAACCGGTACAACATGTACTGTACATGCATTCACTCGTACTGCCCAGTCTGGACTTCACATTTCAAAGTCGACCCAACACATTTTATGCACTAAATGTAGGCTGGCAGGATCTATGTGTGAAAGGTTAAAAATCAAATATTTTAGTTTTTAATAGTTTTGGGTCTACGGGGCCTGGAGCAAGTAACAATAAATCTATCATTTGAGGAAGTTCTAGAACAGAGGTAAGAAAATTGATATTTTATCTTTACAATATATATTTATATATACATCTAGCTATGTTGTACATATTTTTAACAGTTATTTTTTGGATAAGAGGTGTGGGCACAAGCTCACGCATACAAATAAAAGCGAAATATCTATAAATCTATTTCTGCAGTTTGTTATCAAAGTCTTTCTATTATTTTGTTTTGCTCAAGATCAGTTAAAAGTCATGAACCCCAACGTTTTGTGTTGCGCCGTTGTATTAAAAACTTGACCATGGGTAACCCTATAAACCATAGTGAACACTTATTTTACGCGGGCTGATCTTGCTTCCTGTTTTTCCTTAGGCTTAACTATTAGGTTTGGTTAATGATATGATTTTTGTTAATCGCATGTAGCGTTGATTTACCAATCATGTTCTTTTGTCCTTTTCTCTGTCAGGAAAATTGATAATTTATGTTTAATCTTAAAGGGACTGTAAAGCGTATTTCTATGGGATCCTCCATGCAAATATGTCAATGCCCGATTTACAACGGTACCCTGGAAATCTTAATCTGATGTAAAATGTGGAAGGTTAATGTCGTTTGTTTTTCACACTTGAAAATTTTTTATTTCTGTCAATTTCTCTATTGTGTGAATGTCGTATAATCAAGAAATGCGCAAGTCACTTTTGCAGAGAAACCACAATTGAAATTGAACAGTTTAGTTAAACAAAAACATGGATATCTAATTCATATCATGATTAGACAAAGCTTTTAAAGGGAGTGAGCGGCTATGTAAGGTAGTTGAACTGAGTATGCAGTGTTGTGGAAAACTTCTTTCGGATTCATTTGAGACACATTAAACTTTTTAAAGATCTGTAAATCCTGATTTTGAGCGCAAATTCGACGTTTAAAACTCCTACTTTGGGGGTGGATACGTGTTCAGAATTAGTTTTTTAAAATTATTAAATAACGAAGCCACAAAATGTAAAAAGGTTCTACAATAAACTACAGACGTCATGTACAGGAACATGTTGAGAAAATAAATATTAATCTTATCATCGAAAAGAAGTAAAACAAACTAATGGTGACAACGTATCCACCCCCAAAGTGGGAGTTTGCGATTTACAGATCTTTAAAAAGTTTAATATTCTCAAATGAATCCGAAAGAAGTTTTCCACAACACTGCATACTCAGTTCAACTACCCTACATAGCCGGTCACTCTCTTTAAGGATACCGTTATAATTCGGACATTGCAGGGTGGGTCACTTATCATTACGATTACAGTCCCTTTAAGTAAAAATGGTCCAAGTTAGCTTGCCTGTTGCATTTTCATCACGTTTTGGAGAAAGTTTTTCTTTATTGAAAGACCTTTTTTTACTCAACTTTTTAAAAACGCAATTTTAAAATGTTCTGAATTTCGATGTTCTGAAACAAATGCAAAATTATATATTTTTCATGATGTTTCAAATACCGTTAATCATCTTTTAATCCATTTTGTAACATTTAGTATTTTTGGCTTGAATTAATTAAAAAATCTGAATAAATAATTGTAAAAAATATTTTTCAAAGGATATGAAACAAAAGAAAGGCAAAACTTCATTAACATTAATATTATCATTTTATATATTTTATAGGAGAGGAAATTATGAATACAACGTATTTCTCAGGTAAAACCGAAGAAAAGAAAATGTCATATTTTAATTATTTATTTATTTTCGTGATTTCGACGTAATTTTCAGTAATTTAATTAATTATTTAGCATGATTTACAGTTCTTTTTAACAATGTTGAAGATATCGTCGTTTTCTATCTTGAAAAGTGTTAAATTCTAAGAATTTTCTACGTTGTCACTGCATCAGTCCCTTTTCCAAAGAAACCCCAAATAACAAATTTTCACACAAAGGTTTAAATTGGGTACTTTAGTGAATCAGCCATATCATCCCAGAAATAAAAGTTATTTGAAATTACGTATAAAGTTCTTTAAAACAAAAAACTATTTTTAAACACGGAAAAGCGTAGATGTTTCACTTTATAAGAAGAAATTATAAAAAAATCTTACATGGAAAGTAAAAAGAAAAATTTACTAAGAATTGATCAAAACATAAAACTTTGAGCTTAGTGTCCTTTTCAATGGGACACATAAAACTCTGGAATGAGAAGACGACTGTTAGAATAAAATTATTACAAATAGTCCAATAAATAAAAAACAGTGCAGTGTACACAGACCCATTTCACTGTATTAGTTGATTTTTAAGCTACTATAATATCCGTATTTTCTTTGTAACTACAAAACAAAAACATGAAAATGCTTAAATGTCGTCGTACTCTTCCACATTTTTATGGAACTACAAGTTTTTTTGCGCTTCCAACGATTATTAGAATAAAAGTAAAAATTTTAATCAAATTTTTTTAAATATTTCAGTCCAGGAGAAGTTATTGAAGATTTCTCCGCAACATTCTCTATCAAGGGAAATTATTCAAAGTTTTTGTCTCAAGAATAAAAAAATACGAAAGAAAGAAAGAAATCTTTGAAATGGTAAACTGTAATTTTGTAACTTATGAAACATCAAAATACAAGACGTGTAAATATGTAAGTTGTACCACCCCGGACTAACCAGGGCGAGATGCATTCGGTTTCTTCTATTTGAATTCATATTCACGTGGTCGTCTATCAATTTTCTAGCTTACGGAATTGTTTTTTAATACTTTTTTTTAAACGCATATACCGGGTTTAATTGTGATGAAAAGTCTCAGTTCTGTGGAATAAGGACCGAACCGTTAAATCCGTATTGTACGTTTACGCTAGACCGAACCGGTTCGCATCATGCAAACGGTAGGTTTTGAAAGTTTGGATAATTTCAGGATTCAGCAAAGATTGGAAATTTCAGCCTATCCTCTCCCTATATAGGTGAAACTTTAATATTTAAAGATAATTTTAGCATGCTTTACGTTTAGAGACTTTTTAAACGCTTCGTGTCCCCTTTCCTATCATCAATATTATCTTTTAACTGTTGTAGCTCTGAAGATGAAATTCGACATTTTTAATCGTTCTCACTGGAATTTTTCTGTTGAAATTGGCGCATTTTCAAAACAAATAATTGTAAACATTTTTTTCGGGAATTATTTGATCATTGAAGGTCATAAACAATCTCTGAGGTCATTTGAGATGCCGGTAAAATTTGGCCTGATTGGTCCACCTGTTCTGAGGTTCATTGGACAGTCAAATATACAAAAAAAAATAATATAATTTTTTTAAAGAATAATAAATAATATCTTAAATTTTTTACTGTATTGTAAATTGTTAATGGCCGTTTTTAAATAACAAAAAATGAGACTTCAGAGTTATTTAGAAATTTTAAATTTATTATTATTAACCTCTGAAAGTCCAAGAAATTATGAAAAGGAATGAATGTATTTTTCATATTATTAAGACCTCGTGAGGCTCGTACCTTATGAAGTTTATATCTTACGCCAAGTATGATAAAAGAAATTAATCCTGTGACATATTATAGAAATTTATTGAATTTGTGTTCTTCCTTAAATCTCTTCAAGCGGATTTAGGATTGAAAACATGAAAGATTGTAATCTTACGTGTTTTTAGCTTTCTTTAGCTTTATTTAGCTTTCTTTAGCTTTTTTTAGCTTTATTTAGCTTTCTTTAGCTTTCTTTAGTTTTCTTTAGCTTAGTTTAGCTTTCTTTAGCTTAGTTTAGCTTTCTTTAGCTTTCTTTAGCTTTATTTAGCTTTATTTAGCTTTATTTAGCTTTATTTAGCTTTATTTAGCTTTATTTAGCTTTATTTAGCTTTCTTTAGCTTTCTTTAGCTTTCTTTAGCTTTATTTAGCTTTATTTAGCTTTTTTAACTTCTTTAGCTTTCTTTAGCTTTCTTTAGCTTTCTTTAGCTTTATTTAGCTTTCTTTAGCTTTCTTAATATGTAAAATATCAGAAGTAATTTCTATCAAAAGCAATCTATAAGATTTGAAAAAAAAATATTTAATAGAATCAAATTTAAAGGAAATAAGTCTTTGCCGCAAACTCAAATTTTCTAATCCCTATACATTTTAAACCTGATGTTGTAAACCTACTTTTTTTAAACAGAATTCATAGTTTAAAATAACTAAGGTATGCGTTTCATGCAAAGTCTCAATTCATTACAAAACATTTAAAATTTTGATCCAAAAAAGATTTTTTTATTTTAGACAAGGTGGACGAGTTTATTAACATGACAAAGATTGATGAAGAAGAATATTTTGTTGAATTTAGGTAATTTTTATTTATCTTCATTTAAGGGACTTATTGGTAGATTGTACTCTTTAAAGCTTTAAACGAATAAGATATCAATGTTTTAAGTCAAAAAAATTGACTAATTAATTTCAAACGTGGGTTTTCTATAGTTTATTTAATTATTTCTGAAAAAATGATATTTTCGTTTAGAATATTTTTCAGGAAATTTTTATTAATTAAGATGAGTTATTAATTATTTCTTACTTGTTTTATAAACCTTTTTATGTTAAGAATGTTTTGTTGTTGAGGTAATTTTTTCCACATAGTTCAATCATTTATTCATTANAATATTTTCAGCACGTATATATTTTACAATATATGTACATTTATATCATCATAAATCTATAAATACAATTTCTCGCAAAATATGATTGCACTTATTTAATACTTTCAGCACGTATATATTTTACAATATATGTACATTTATATCATCATAAATCTATAAATACAATTTCTCGCAAAATATGATTGCACTTATTTAATATTTTCAGCACATATATAATTTACAATATATGTACATTTATATCATCATAAATCTATAAATACAATTTGCTTATAATTTTCATTTTCTAAACACTTTTATGCATTTATTTTTCAACATATTTTATTTATTATTTTGAATTTTTATTTAATTTTTATATTTTTTTACATTTATTCACTTTCTTATTAATTTATCTAGTTGTTTTTCTCTTTTTATACAGTCATTCATAAGTTATTAATAATTTATTAACCTTATAGTTTTATTATGTAATCTTTTTTGTACATTAATAATACATATTATATATAAGATCAGAAAACAATTTATTTATTATGGCAAGAAAAATCCGCCAAATTTTATACACATTTTGTGGCAAGAAAATCTGCCAAATTTTATACATATCGGGGCATGGAAAATTCCGCTAGATTTTATTCCTTTAGAATCAATTACTTTTCATCCATTCATTCATCAATTTTAGAATGAATTCATATCTGTTCATCCATTTATTAACTTATGTAAAATGAATTTCTGTTCGTTTATTCATTTCTTCAGGATGAATTACTTTTCTTGCATTCGTTTTTTTGGGGTGAATTAATAATCATTTAGTAATTTATTTAGAATCACTTACTTTTCATTCATTCATTTCTTTTTTAGTATGAATTATTATCTATTCATCCTTTCATTTTTTAGGATGAATTATTATATATTAATCCATTCATTTATTCAGAACGAATTATTAACTATATCATCCATTAATTTTTTTAGGATGAATACACAAGTGCAAGCTGCATTCGGTCAAAAGGAACATTCATTTATACATCATTATATAGTTTTCAATAATAATCTTGAAAATATGAAAATAGGACGGGAGAGAAACTGAACAAATCGAATTTTCGAAGGAATTCATAGCGTAATTTCAATCCTTGCAATTCCAGATTCACAACGGTACCGATAAAAGCTTTGTCTGATTAAGTATGAGTTAGATATCCATGTCTGTAATTTCGAAAACTTATTATTTTAAATTGTGTTTCTCTACAAAAGTCACTTGCGCATTTTACTGCAAGAAGACATAATGTAATCATCAGAATGAAGCACTTTTCAACCAAAAAAAAAACGACAATCGATATAATAAAACAAGACATTCGTATAAATATATAAGTTGCGTATAGACGGCCAAACGGCTGGACCGATAGGGCTGAAATTTTTGTGGACACTCAGGGGTAGCCGAGGGGTGTTAAAGGCTTTTTTTCAATTTTTTTCAACACGGACAACGCCAGGCCCTTCAGCTAGTATTTTTCATATTACTGATCAGGGTACAGTAAGGGTACATCAGGCATAGCCATCTTTGCATGAAGGTACACTTGAATTTACGCTTACAAATAACAGTCCCTGAAGTAACATTTTATTTGGAGAAAATTAAATCTTCTATGATTTAATCCTTTTTTCATTTCTTTTATAAACGAAAATGAAAAGGGATTTATTGGACCGCTGACTGTCAAGTTCTCACTGAAAAAGGTATTTTTCTTTTCTTTTTAATTCGAAAATACTATATTTTTATAATTTTGTACAGATAATATTGCAACTTATATGTATTTGTATTGTACAGATAATATTTCATTTTATATGTATTTGTATTGTACAGATAATATTTCATTTTATATGTATTTGTATTGTACAGATAATATTTCAATTTATATATTTGTATTATCTAGATAGAAAAAGTAGTAATTTCTGTTTGTCTGTTTGTTTGTTTGTATTTTCGATCATAACTCATTTCCTTTGCTTATAAACAATAACAAATAAAAAAATCAAAATAATTAATATTTCACATTTAGGCCGGAAATACACAATTGGAGAGTTTTGGAGAGAATTTTATATTTTCTCTTAGAATTCCAGGATACTTAGAACCAATACCCCAGGTACATATTAGAATACCAGGATACTTAGAACCATTACCTCAGGTACATCCTAGAATACCAGGATACTTAGAACCATTACCTCAGGTACATATTAGAATACCAGGATACTTAGAACCACTACCTCAGGTACATCCTAGAATACCAGGATACTTAGAACCATTACTCCAGGTACTTCTTTTAGAAGGGTCATAAGGTAATCACTCCATATGGGATGGTCTTGGTTCCGTTATAAACTTTAACGAAAAAAATTATTTTTTAAATCGGTAACAAGCTGAATCTACCATCCAATCATAAAAAAATAACAAAAACGAATTCTTTTTTTAAAATAAGAGCAGGTTCCGTTAATTTTTATGGTTTTAGTTTAATGGCAAACATGAACAAATAAATTTTTCATAATCCGTCTGTCCGTTAATTTTTCTAGCCGTTAACCAACTGATTAAAAAAAATATAAACATGTGTTTACGTATTACAAATAAACATGTGTTTACATATATAAATAAACACGTGTTTAGCACGTAATTATTCTGGTTCCCTCTTCGTCTTCCAGTGTGCTGAGGAACTTTATTCAGAATATTATATTAGGTAAACATTCATTCATTCATTCATTCATTCATTCACCCTAGGTTCGTTTATTCATTAATTCATTCAAGGTTTGATTATTCATTTATTAATTCAAGGTTTGGTTATTCATTTATTAATTTATCTATTCAATATTTATTTAATCATTCATCCATTCATTCTAGATTTGTTTTTTATTCCATTCATGGCCTTCCATCCTTTCAATATTCATCTAATTATTTATTCATTCATTCTATATTTGTTTTTTATTTATGTATTTATCATAAATTTATTTATTCATGCATTCATTAAACATTTGTTTATTCATTCATTCATTAATTATTTCGTCCTAGATTTGTTAATTAATTCAAGATTTTTTAATCATTTATGAAAGAACTGTAAAACCTAAAAAAATGAGACGCAACAATTCTGGGAAAACAAGGACCTAACAATTTCAATCTGAAGCCGTTTTTTTACTACAATTGGAAAACGCACCAGGAACCGAATGTAATGAATTTGAGTTCGTCGCTGAACTATCTACAGCCGATTTAAATTTGAACCACTGTTTTAAAATTGAAAATTAAGGAAGGATTAGAATCTGTGATTCAAATTCAAAGGCAGTTCAAATACAGGGTGTCCCAAGGAACATGTTAATTGGTAAATAATTTAGAATGCCTTCTTCCATAATTTGTGAAGTTGTCATAAATAATGCAGGACCGAATATAACGAATTAAACTGCCTACCGGGAATTATAATTAGTCTCTGCAGTTGTATTATGCAATTATATTTAAACAATTTGATTTAATTGTGTTTATAATTTTTTAAACATCTTTAAAAATAAATTATTAAAAATATTTCTCTTTGTTTTTTCAGGATCTATGGAAAAGATTAAACCTTGGGGTCAGCTTACTTTGCTCCCACAGAATAATTCAACAACTGGGTGATCATTTAAAAATCAATAGTTCCATTTAAAGGACTGTTATTTCAAGCGACCCTCCATGCAAAGATGGCAATGCCCATTTGCAACGGTACCCTTGAAACTTTAATCTGATCCAAAAATGTGGAAGATATTGTCGTTTCCCTGACTCGAAAAGTGTTTAATTTCTCCATTGCTTCTTATAAGAAAGAAATGTGCAAGTCACTTTTGCAGAGAACCCGCAAATGAAAATAAACAGTTTAAGAAAACCAAAACATTGATATCTAATTCATACTTGATCAGACAAAGCTTTTAAGGGTACCGTTGTAAATCGGCATTGCCATCTTGACATGGAGAGTCACTTGAAATTACGCTTACAGTCCCTTTAAAGGACTATGAATGTAATTCCATAAAATGAAATGTCTGATTCACAACTGTACCCTCAATAGCTTTGTCTTATCAAGAATGAATGAGATATTCATGATTTGTACTGATTGTGGCTTGTGAGTTGCGGATTTCTAGTTTCAGAGAAAATGGGAAAATTTTGAAATTAAACAATTTTAAAGCTAGAAAATGACGAAATCTTTTTTCATGATATTGATCTGATAATCTGTTCAATGGAAATCACTTAAAATTACAGCCACCTGCCATCAGTCCCTGTAAAGCGACTGTTCAACCATATCTAAAAAAAACGTAAAAAATTTAAAATCAAAAAAATGTTCAAATAAATGTTTTTAATTTGAAAACCTTTAGGATTAAATTTACATTCATAATTTAAGATATATTAGATCATTTTTCCATCCGTTTAATTTTAAAATATGTATAATGTTTATGATAAAATTAAAGAATCCATTTGAAAAAATATAATTTTTAACCTTTTTACATATGTTTGTATAACCGATGAAAACAAAAAAGAAAGAATATTTTTGAAAAAAATAACTTTTTCTTTTTTTCCCACTAGGTGTTCATCAAAATATAATTATCCGTACAAAAGAGGTAACAAATTTAAAGGAAAAAAACGTTTAGTTTAATGAGGAAAATTTTAAACTTTGAAGTTGATTTATTTCAGGTTTTATCAATACAGTGATTTCTATAAACTTTGTGCCGGAAAGGTAAATATATTTATTAAGGAAACTTTTCAATTTTTTCGTTAAGAAATACGAAACTTATTTGTATAGCCCTATACCGAGAATACAGCCCATAAAACGAAAAAATATCTTTATTACGACTTAAAACCTTGTTGAAGTAATATAAAAAGAGGGTCTGAAGCCGTACAATATAAAGTTAAGTCCGATTCACAAGGTGCCTTTGACCTTGATCAAACCTGACGGAAATATCTTTTTTTCTATTAAAAAACTTGAATTCCTGATACCTCGAGTATATTTTCCTGAGCCCGTTCTCTTTTTAAAAATGTATGAACATCGGTCGTACTTCGGAGGACGATGATAGTTTTTCCGCCATCTGTCTCACGCTAAATTCTTATCTGATATAGATGTAATAATAGAAGGCCTCTGACACTCAATTTTCAGCTATAATTGTCGTAGTATCATTACAATAAAGACAACTTTAGATTTATTTTTTATTTTTACCAAGCCTTCAACCAGCAGAGATACACAATATATATAAACATGGAAACAAAGAGAACTTGTCAATCAACAGATTCTCTTTGTTAACTTGTAATTTGAAAAGGCTTGTTAGAAATAAAAGCTTAAATAGAAAATTCTTCTTCATTCTATTGATGTAAACGCCGATCACTATAGAAAAGCAAGAATATATCCCTCATTGATGAACAGACAATGGTTTAAAGTGTTCTGATGATGTAAATTGCCTCTCTATAAAGACCAAATAAAATTGAGTTACAGGTTCACCCATAAAGGAGGAGACTGTAGAGACGACTGTACAGAATTTATACTGTCTGTTTCCTGATATTCCCAGTTCACTGCAACTGAAAGTGTAAACTTGTTTCTTTCTTTGTGAAATAATTAAAGGGACTGTAAAGGAAAAATGAAAGGGGGTATAGGCTGAAAGCTAATCACTTTAGCTCTCGATCGCGACCCATGAAAGTTATATCTGCAGATGTTCCTATCTCAAGAAATTGATATACAACTTTGTTAAATATATACGAAAATTAATATATATACAATTTTGTATAAAAGTAGAAGGGTTTAGATAGATATTCCACCGTAGAGGTCACTGAGTAATATTCCACCGTAGAGGTCATTGAGTAATATTCCACTGTAGAGGTCATTGAGTAATATTCCACCGTAGAGGTCACTAAGTAATATTTCACCGTAGAGGTCACTATGTAATATTCCACCGTAGAGGTCATTGAGTAATATTCCACCGTAGAGGTCACTGAGTAATATTCCACCGTAGAGGTCATTGAGTAATATTCCACTGTAGAGGTCATTGAGTAATATTCCACCGTAGAGGCCATTGAGTAATATTCCACCATAGAGGTCACTAAGTAATATTCCGCCGTAGAGGTCGCTGAGTAATATTCCACAATAGAGGTCAGTGAGTAATATTCCACCGTAGAGGTCACTGAGTAATATTCCGCCGTAGAGGTCACTAAGTAATATTCCGCCGTAGAGGTCGCTGAGTAATATTCCACAATAGAGGTCTGTGAGTAATATTCCACCGTAGAGGTCACTGAGTAATATTCCACCGTAGAGGTCACTGAGTAATATTCCACCGTAGAGGTCACTGAGTAATATTCCACAATAGAGGTCACTGAGTAATATTCCATAGTAGAGGTCACTGAGTAATATTCCACAGTAGAAGTCACTGAGTAATATTCCACCTTAGAGGTCACTGAGTAATATTCCACCGTTATAGAGGTCACTAAGTAATATTCCACCGCAGAGGTCACTGAGTCTGTAGAAAGCTGAAAGAAAACAGGATTCTGAGTTCAGGGTACTTGAAAACCAGGATACCCTGTGAGGGGGGAGTTTTAGATTTGCAAAAAAAATATGTTATTTTTGCAAACTGGTTTTGCCATTTTTCACAGATAAGCAGTTAATGTAAATGTATACTAAAGTTGTGTATGAGTAATTCATCATGAATAATGAATGAATCAAAGAAGAGTAGTAAATGAATGAATGGAAGGATTTAAAATGAATTAAGAAAGAGTATCAAATGAATAAATGAATGAAATAACAAGAAAAGAAGAGTAGTAAATGAATGAATTTGAGTGAATTGAATAGCGATTTAAAGAAGAGAGGATAAATGAATGGATGAATTGAAAAATGCATTAAAAAAGAGTAGTGTGTAAAAAGTTTAAAAAGTAAATTGCTTATCAATGTGTGAAATTAAAGATTAATTAGTAAAGACATGAATGATACAGTGATAGCCAGAAAACTCTGGAATAGAAAGTCGACTTTTAGACTCAAGAATGACTTTGAATAGTCAAATGAACACGAGGTGCAGCAATTTTGCAGTGTAAATAGACCCGTTTCACTTAATAAGTGATTTAACAACTATTTGCTTTGTAACAACATCAAATATACTTCAGTATTGCTTTAATGCCGTCTTCCTATTCTACAGTTTTCTGGATATCACTGTAGATTAATATAGTTTTATTTACCTAGGAAGCAGTAGATCTAATATTCTCAAAAAGTTTTTCTAATGTCGTCTTTAAACATCTATCTTTGGCCTTCACACAAGGAGTTAAATCCACGGACATTAAACAGGTTTTTTACTTACAGTGAAACCCTTAATAACGAATACATCGGAAGAATTTATAAAATGTCGTCTTGACAATTTTTCAATGAGTTTTATACTACAGGGTGTCCCACGAAACATGACAGTATGCAGGACGACTTGAATGTCGTCTTGTTTTTTGATATAATTTGCTGCGTTTATTTGTCAACCTAATTTTAGAAGTAAATTTCTAGAGATAATAATCACAAAATTCCCCTAGTCCTGCCATTTCCAAAATGTGGTCTGCCTTTTTTGTGCTTTCAATATTGCCCGAGATATGAAGAATTTCGTTCAGATTTCGACAATTTTGCTTTTATTTAACAAAATTGAAATCTGAACCAAACTCTTTATATCTCC